TTTGCGTGGACAAAGAAATGGAGTCTGGAGAATGCAGAAAAATAAACTTTGATGTTTTAAAAACAGTTTACATTACAAAAGAGGAAGTTCAGGAGGTCTTAGAAAATATAAAGGTGGATAAATCTCTGGGACCTGATCTAATGTATCCCAGAATGTTGTGGGAAATAACGGAGGAAATAATAAGACCCCTTGCAGAAAGATTTGTATCATCTATAACTACAGGTGAGGTGCCTGATGACTGGAGGTTGGCTAATGTTGTATCTTTGTTGAAGAAACATTGTAAGGAGAAACTGGGGAATGATAGACCTGTGAGTCTGTCTTCAGTTGTGGGTAAATTGTTGGAGATGATTATAACAGATAGGATTTATGGACATTTGTTTATTTGGATTTTAGTGAAACCTTTGACAAGGTTCTGCCTGATACACTAATTAGTAAAGTTAGGTCACATGGGATTCAGCGTGAGCTTTCCAATTGGATACATAATTGGCTCAACGGCAGGAGACAGAGTAATGGTGGAGGGTTGTTTTTCGGATTGAAGGCCTGTGACCAGCTGTGTTCCACAGGGATCGGTTCTGAGTCCTGTTTTGTTTGTCATTTATATAAATGATTTGGATGAGAATATAGAAGGCGTGGTTAGTAAATTTGCAGATTACACCAAAATTGGTGGCATAATGAACAGTGAAGAAGGTTTTCTAAGATTACAGAGGGATCTTGATCAAATGGGTCAACGGGCTGAAAAGTGGCAGATGGAGTTCAATCTGGACAAATGTGAGGTATTGCATTTTGCTAAAACAAACAAGAGTAGGGCTTATACAATTAATGGTAATGCCTTGGGTAGTGTTGTAGAACAGAGTGACCGAGGGGTTCAGGTACATAATTCTTTGAAGTTTATGTCACATATGGACAGGCTGGTTAAAAAGGTATTTGGCACATTTGCCTTCATTGAGCTGTCCTATGAGTATAGAAGTTGGGACGTTATGCTGAGGTTGTGCAGGACATTAGTGAGGCTTCTTCTGGAGTACTGTGTCCAGTTCTGGTCACCCAGTTTTAGGAAGGATATTATCAAGCTGGAGAGGGTTCAGAAGAAATTTACCAGGATGTTTGCCAGGTATGGAAGGTTTGAGTTATTAAAAAAAAGCTGGATAGTCTAGGACTTTTTTCACTGGAGAGTAGGATGTTGAAAATAATGTTAAAATAAATATTTGCTAAAATAATGAGCAGTATACATAAAGTTAATGGGAGTTGTCTTTTCCCTAGGATGGGGGATTTCAAGACTAGGGGTACACGTTTTTAAGGTGAGAGGAGAGAGATTTAAAAAGACATGAGGGGCAAATTTTTTACACAGAGGGTGGTTCACATGTGGAATGAACTTCCTGAGGAAGTGGTGGATGCGGGTATGATTACAATGTTTAAAAGACATTTGGATAGGTACATATATAGGAAAGGTTTGGAGGGATATGGGGCAGCAGCAGGCAGGTGGAACTAGTTTAGTTTGGGACTATGGTTGGCATGGACTGGTTGGACTGAAGGGTCTGTTTCCGTGCTGTATGACTCTATGACTCCCAATCCTTGGCCCCACTGAGCTCTTTTCAGGAAATACTCAGTTCAATGGAGAAACTTGTGGTGAACTGTGGTTTCAATCCATTTCACAATTTGACTTCAAAGATCAGAACGGTTACAGATGTCCCTTGATTTAAATCTCATCTGGTCAAAGATCTTGTGTAGCAGTCAGTGAGCAGATTGCAGGGTGACAGTGTCACTGTGTCACCTCGACGACTACAGCTTTTTAAAAAAATAGTTATTCTTAAAACTGTCCTGTTTCTGGTTTCAGGAGCCTGCTGTATGAGGGTGCCCAGTCAGCTATCTAGGGACGTCAGCTCGCTGGTTTTCTGATAATGAAGATGAGGCTGAGTATGGGGCCAAGTCAAATCAACCCATTTACGCTCAGGTTTGTTCACTGTTCCTGACACAAACACATGTGCGCCTCACTATGTCCCCACTCCAATTCTAGGCCAATACAGGAACTGGATTTCATATGTCCTGATACAGATAGACTGACTGACAGGCATTCACACACACACACACAGACACACACACACGTTGTCGACTCTGCTTGGATGAATTCCTGGAGACTTTATCCTGGGTCTCTACTTCAAATATTTCCACAACTAATAAATTGGAAGAGTTCAGGGAAATGCAGATTAAAAGGAACTCAATTTTTGTTAAATGTGACAGAGATGCTCACGTATTTCTCTCTCTATGGAACTGTGTCTCTCACAACAGGGTGGCCACTCTGCTTCTCCCATCTGAACAGGAAGGACGTATATGGCAGGTGTAGACAGCAGGGATTGAGGAAATCCCAAGAGGAGTATAAAGGAAGTAGCAGTATACTCAAGAGGGAAATCAGGAGGGCAAAAGTGGGACAGGAGTTGGCTTTGGCAAGGAGAATCCAAGATTAAGGAGAATCCAAAAGGGTTTCTACAAATACATTATGGACAAAAGAGTAACTAGGGAGAGAATACAGCCCCTTAAAAGATCAACAAAATTACCTATGTGAGGAACTGCAGGAGATGATGGAGATACTAAACAAGTATTTTGCATCAGTGTTTACTGTGGAGAAGGGTATGGAACATACAGAATATGGGGAAACAAATAGCGATATCCTGAAAAGTGTCCATATTACAGAGGAGGTGGTGCTAGACTTCTTAAAACGCATAAAAGGTGGATAAATCCCCAGGACCTGATCAAGTCTACCCTAGAACTTTGTGGGAAGCTAGGGAAGTGATTGCTGGGCCCCTTGCTGAGATATTTGCATCACCGATAGCCGCAGGGGAGGTGCCAGAAGACTGGAGGTTGGTGAACATGCTACCATTATTTAAGAAAGGTGGTAAGGAGCAGTTGGGGAACTACAGACCGGTGAGCCTGACACCAGTGATGGGTAAGTTGTTGTAAGGAATCCTGAGGGACAGGATTTACGTGTTTTTGGAAAGGCAAGGACTGAGTAGGGATAGTCAACATGGCTTTGTGTGTGGGAAATCGTGTCTCACTAACTTGGTTGAGTTTTTTGAAGGAGTAATGAAGCGGGTTGATGAGGGTAGAGAGGTGGGCATGATCAATGTGGATTTCAGTAAGGCACTTGACAAGGTACCACATGGTAGACTGGTTAGCAAGGTTAAATCACATGGAATACAGGGAGAACTAGCTATCTGGATACAAAATTGGCTCGAAGGTAGGAGACAAGGTGGTGGTGGGTTGTTTTTTAGACTGGAGGCCTGTGACCAGTGGTCGGCCACAAGGATCGGTGCTGGGTCCACTGCTTTTTGTCACTTATATAAATGATTTGGATGTGAACGTAGGGGGTGTGGTTAGTAAGTTTGCAGATGACACCAAAATTGGAGGTGTAGTGCACAGCGAAGAAGGTTACCTCAGAGTACAACAGGACCTTGATCAGATGCGCCGAAGAGCCGAGGAGTGGCAAATGGAGTTTAATCTGGATAAACGTGAGGTGCTACATTTTGGAAAGGCAAATCAGGGCAGAGCCTATACACTTAATAATAAGGTCCTGGGGAGTGTTGCTGAACAAAGAGACCCTGAAGTGTAGGTCCATAGTTCCTTGAAAGTGGAGCTGCAGGTAGACAGGGTGGTGAAGAAGTCATTTGGTACGCTTGCCTTTATTGGTCAGTGCATTGAGTGTAGGAGTTGGGAGGTCATGTTGTGGCTGTACAGGACATTGGTTAGGCCACTATTGGAATACTGCATTCAATTCTGGTCTCCTGCTATAGAAAGGATGTTGTGAGACTTGAGAGGGTTCAGAAAAGATTTACAAGGATGTTGCCAGGGTTGGTGGGTTTGAGCTACAGGGACAGGCTGAATAGACTGGGGCTATTTTCCCTGGAGCGTTGGAGGCTGAGGGGGGTTTATACAAACACTAGAGGTATGGATAAGGTGAACAGTCAATGCCTTTTTCCTGGGGTAGGGGAGTCCAAAACTAGACAGCATAGGTTTAAGGTGAGAGGGGAAAGATTTAAAAAGGACCTAAGGGGCAACCTTTTCACACAGAAGGTGATGCATATTCAGAATGAGCTGCCAGAGGAAGTGGTGGAGGCTGGTATAATTACAACATTTAACAGCCATCTGGATAGGTATATGAATAGGAAGGGTTTAGAGAGATATCGGCCAAATGCTGGTCAATGGGACTAGATTAATTTAGGATATCTGGTCGGCATGGACAACTTGGACTGAAGGGTCTGTTTCCCTACTGTACAGCTCTATGACTATGATCCTCAGGGGAAATTTGGTCAGGCAGTCTTCCTGATGGGTGACCCATCCTCATCTGATTTCCACCTTTGCTTTCTCTCTATGCGTGTCTGTGCATGCATGTTGTGTGCATGCCTTTGGATGTTTCTGTGAGTATGCCTTTACATGTGTGTGCGTGTGCATGTCTGCTGATGTCCAAATATTGGGCTGAAGGAGGGTGCTGGTGTCTGGCTGTGAGTCTCATCGAATTCCTCCCACCATCAATAACCATGCCCCGCCGCGCGGTCTGTGTTCACTCTGCTGGGTCCCGGGCCTGTGGCAGGAGTCAGGACTGAGTGTCAGTGAGAGGGGAACGGCACACTTTGGGTGGGGTTTCAGCTGGTGACAGGCTCTGGATCAAACTCAGCTGGCATCTTCACTGTCCTGTCCCCATCCCTCCAGCAGGCCTCAGCGTTTACAGACTGACAGGAACAAGGGCCAACACTGAGCGCAGTGTGAGGAAGCTGTAGCCAGTGTTTGAAGTGGAACCACAATTCCCAGCAGGAAGGTTCTGGAGGACAGTGGGTCATCCTTTGAAATGGTGTCAAAGTTTTTCTGAAAACCAGCCTCGGGTGGTTAAAGGGAGCACGGCCTGGGATTAAAGTCTGACAGACACAACTATAACACGCTCCATTGCTTTCCCGCGAGTAACATTTCAGTCCCAGTCCGTCTGAAGAGGATCCTCTCAGAGACGGAGTCATTACCTGCCATTGCGGTGTCCTCTGTGGGTGACGAGCCTTCCGTCTAAAGCAGAAAAAGGGAACAAAAAAAAAACAAAAAGGGTTTTTAATTCATTCCTCCCTTTGCAAGCGTATCTTTGCTGAGCTCCTGCTTGAACCTGCCATTTGAGAGTTTGTCGAGACGTTCACAAACCCTCCTCTAAGTCATTATGAATACAAGAGCAGGAATGCCTTAAGCACCGTCAGCGATGAGCTGCCTCAGGTACACTCTGTGCTGCTGAGGGTTGGCTCTGTTTGCAGAATCTGAAGGCAGGCCGCACTGCTACCGGGCCACAGCTTACTAAGCACGTGCAGACTGCCACACCGCTGCATTTTGGGAGTTCGCTGCCCTTACAGCCCACCACAGCTCCTCCATTTAAAAACAAACACCTTCCCTGTCCTCAAACCTACATTTCATCAGGTGGAATGTTTTGGTGGGCAGAAGACACCTGCCTCATTTTTAACAATTTTATTTTAGCCAAGCTGCTCCAATGTGTTACTGCACACCTCTGGAGCAGGTAGAACTTGAACCTGGGCCTCCTGGCTCTGAGTTAGGGACACTACCACAGCACCATAACAGCCCTGCCTGCCTCGTTTTAAGCTGTTGTCTTCTGGTCTTTGAAGTAAGCCTAAGCATACTCTTAGACAGCAATGGTTTTTAAGCTTATTGGTTGAAAGGATCCCTTTTCAAATGATCATGAATTCCCTCCCCCAAAAGCTAAATGCTGGTATTATACACATTGTACACCTTTATGAATGTTACATTCACCAGTGTTCAGTTAAAACGATTATGTGGAGGGGCTGGTGTTGGATTGGGGTGGATAAGGTCAGAAGTCACATGCACCAGGTTATAGTCCAACGGGTTTACTTGAAATCACAAGCTTTCTGAGCGCTGCCCCTTTGACTTCACCTGACGAAGCAGCAGTGCTTTGAAATCTTATGATTTCAGATAAACCTGTTGGACTATAATCTGGTGTCGTGTGCCTACCATTAAAGTGACAAACAGGGCATGTTGTCTGATATTGTGAAGCTCGATCCAATTCCATGGTAATCATACAGGTTCAGTAATTCTTCAGCACCAGGCACTTCCCTGCTCATTCCTACCTTTATCAGAATGTCATCAGGACATTCACCACCCTCTACTCATAAGTGCACGTTTTAGGATTTTATACGGAAACATAGAAAACAGAAGCAGGAGTTGGCCATTCAGCCCTTTGAGCCTATTCCATCATTCAATATGATCATGGCTGATCAGTTCCCTGTTCTCCCCATACCTGTTGATCCCTTTAGCCCTAAGAACAATGTCTATGTTTTGACCTCAGCTGCTTTCTGGGGCAGAGAATTCTACAGGCTCACCACTATCTGGGTGAGGAAATTTCTCCTCATCTCAGTTCTAAATTGCCCACCTCTTTTCCCAGACCCTTGCCATTTTTGCCAGCTGTGTGCTAGAATAAATCGCTGGCACACCATCTGGCGTGCAGACACCACTGGAGTGTGGCACAGCCTTTACTTGCATGCCTAACCTGTGTTACAGCACAATGTGACTTCATTTCATGGATTCCCTGGAAAGTCCGTACAAACTGAACTGCATACACCCCGATCCCGAGTATGTGACTTATTTGGTAACTGTACACCAGTGCAATAGGCTAATTAGAAACAGAAAATGCAGAAAGAAATTGTCAGAATTGAGGGAAATTTCCATAACCCTACACACCAAAAGCAGGATTTGCTATATTCAGTCACTGTATAACATCACGTATGTAAGTAACTATTTGTTCCTGGCTAATTCCTCAGAGCTAGATTGGTTAGAGAGAGAGATTTGTCTTCTGGACAGAGATTGAGCAGGTTAGGCCGATACTCTCTGGAGTTTAGAAGAATGAGGGGAGATGTTAAGATGCTAAAGGAAATTGACGAAGTAGACGTAGAGAGGATATTTCCTCATGTGGAGTGATCTAGATCCGAGAAGGAAGGAGTGGCAGATTTAAAACAGAGATGAGGAGAAATTACGTTTCTCAAAGGGTTGTGAATCTGTGGAATTGGGTGCAGTGGAATTGAATAAATTTGAGGAGGAGACAGATTTTTAATTAGTAACGGGTTGAAGGGTTATGGAGAGCAGGCAGGAAAGTAGAGTTGAGTCCGAGATGAGATCAGCCATGATTATATTAAATGGTGGAGCAGACTCGAGGGGCGGAATGGCCAGTTCCTGGCTCTTATGTTCTCAGAAACCCTCCTTCAGCATCTGATGCAGAAAATCAGTATTTTCAGAAGTTCATTGTGGGGGATATAGGTATCCATCACCTGTTATCCCCAAAGCCTCACATGGATTACTATCTGTCCTCAAGTCACTAAAGGCCTTTTGATAGGCATCTAATCAATGCTGCATTTGAGTGAACCTTCGTAACAATAACAGCAATAAGCACCTTCAATTAAGAACGCTGCTAATGCATCGATAATTGATTTTTAAAGAGAGTCCTGGGTGAACCACCTCTGACACAATTAGAGTCAGGAAGCTGTGCCCCTCCCTGGTCATTTCAACATCAACACCAAAACTATGTCACTGCAGATACCAGAAATCTGAATTAAAACAAAATATGACAATTCTAAAGAAGATCATAACGGACTCAAAACATTAACTCTTTCTCTCTCTCTTTCTCCACAGATGTTGCCAGACAAAGTTTCTCCTGCACTTTCTGTTTTCATTTCAACATCGACACTGACTTGTTTAGAGTCATGAGAATCTCCAGGGGGAGCAAGTTTTGACACAACTTTCTCAATTTTATTGTTAACCAAATATTTTTCTATTTTAAATCTGAAAGCCAGTGTGTAGACGAAATCCATTTGACAGAGCACTCATGACTGTCCGATTGTTTCGAGTTATTTGATTTAAGCATCAATCAGGCAGTACAAAAAGCATCAGGCTCATGTGCTGCAGGGTAAGGCTGCACTCCTAATGCCACACTGCCTGCTTATATAAGATTACCAGCAGCCAGTACCTCCCCCAAGATGCCACATTACTACAGTTATCAAAACTGCTCTTTAAATGCTACAGTTAGACAGTTGGCCTGATCAGGCTTGGCTGCAAGTTCCAGGATGAGGTATCTGCTGACTCTGCAGTCCTCACCAGCACCTCCTTTCACATTCACTACTTAAGAATGTTGTCATTCAGGCAGGATAAACAGCACTTCTTGAGCTTCGTCTCATTCTTCAATGACCTTAGTGGCTCTTTCAAGTTCAAAGTTACTGACTGGAGGGTAATATTTAGTTGGGGGTTGGGGGGGGATTTAATTTAATTATTTTCAGGGCACAATTTTCAATCTGGGGAACCAGAGTTTCACATCTCCATCCCACATCGTATCTGCATCACTCACGTGACATGGTCTTCACATGTAAATGCCCTGATGGGACGATGAGTCACCTTGATAGAGGAGAAGGTTAACAGTCTCAATAAACAGAAAAGTGACCAAACTGCTAAATTAAAAAGTCACCCGCACGATCTGGAGTGAGAGCCTCCAGTTTCTAAAATTAATCAACACAAAAAAAAATTAACACTGCCTGTGCCAAACCTGACGTGCACCAGAATGTACCATTTACAAGATGCACTGCAGCAACTTGCAATTCCTCCTTTGATATCAACTTCCAAACCCACAACCTCTACCATTTAGAAGGACACCGGGTAGCAAATACATGGGAACACTACCCCCAGCAAGTTCCCCTCTGAGCCACTCACCATCCTGCCCTGGAAGTAAATCACCATTCCTTCATTGTTGCTGGATCAAAATACTGGAATTCCCTCCCTAATGGTATTGTGGGTGTTCCTACAGTCTACATGAATTAGCGCAAGTCAAGAAGAGAGTTTGCCACAACCTTTAAATGCTGGCTTCGCCACTGATGGCCATATCTTATGAATGAACGTGTTTTTTAAAAGTATGTTTGGGTGTAGTGATTTTCTGAAAATAGCCTTCTCCTCCACTCCAGCCCCTTCAAAAACCCCCTCAAGGAACTCAAAGGTCAATAAGAGGAGATCAGCAAGTTCCTGACTCACCGGCCTCCTGCTCTCACTCACAAATTGCCAGCATAATCCTGTCAGTGCACCTCATGACGTTTTAGCGTAATCTTTATAACGTAAGGTTAAATGTAGTTTCCTTCCACCTGCCCCTCGGTAAGCCCATTCAAATCTGGGTCAGGAAGTGACAGTCAGGACTGTGGCAAATCACACCAACATACTCCAGAATGTGTCAGCCTTGGCTCCTAACCCCAGTCGTTTTGGGAGTCAATCATCTTCCCACGAAAACATTTGACACTGAAGCACTGGGCACTAACCCACAGCCAGTCTGCGTGACAGTGCAAGGTACACACTTCTCCTCAATTCAGATTCTAACTGTGAATCTTCTAACAAACAGGAGAGAAAACTGTTGAAAATCCAGAGGCTGAGGGGTTGGTTCCCTTGGCTAGGTCATATTGTCAGGGTGAGGGGTCAGTCATTTAGGACTGAGACAAGGAGAAATGTGGTCGCTCCAAGGGAGAGGCTGAATAGGCTGGGGCTATTTTCCCTGGAGCATCGGAGGCTGAGAGGTGACCTTACAGAGGTTTATAAAATCATGAGGGGCATGGATAGAGTAAATAAGGACCCTCACCAACTTCTACAGATGCACCATTGAAAGCATACTGTCTGGTTGCATAATGGCCTGGTATGGCAACTGCTCTGCCCAAGACCATAAGGAACTGCAGAAGGTGGTGTGTACAGCCCAGACCATCACGGAAGCCAACCTTCCATCCATGGACTCTAATTACACGACTTGCTCCCGCGGAAAGACAACCAACATCAAAGACCCATCGCACCCCGGTAATGATCTCCTACAGCCTCTTCCACAGTGAGAAGCTTTGTTTACAAGCGATACAGACAGATCATAGTAAGCAAAGGATGTACAGATCAAAAAGACTTAGATAGAGACATACAGGTTACATTGCACAGGGTGTGCGCTCAGCGAGATCAATGTTAGCAAGATTAGCGTTATATGAGGCGACAGAGTCCATTCATCAGTCTGATAACGGCCAGGAAGAAACTGTTCCTGAACCTGCTCGTGTGTGTGTTCAGGCTTCTGTATCTTCTGCCTGAAATCAATCAAGAGACAAGGTTTTCCCCTGGGTGGGGGTGTCCAAAACTAGAGGACATAAGTTTAAGGTAAGAAGGGAAAGATTTAAAACGGACCTAAGGGTTAACTTTTTCACATAGAGGGTGGTGCGTGTATGGAATGAGCTGCCAGAGGAAGTGGTGGAAGCTGGTACAGTTACAACATTTAAAAGGCATCTGGATGTGATTTATGAATAGGAAGGGTTTACAGGGATATTGGCCAAATGCTGGCAAATGGGACTAGATTAATTTAGGATATCTGGTCGGCATGGATGAGCTGGACTGAAAGGTCTGTTTCCATGCTGTTTATCTCTAAGAGAGCTGTGGCTCTTTGATATCCTCAGCTTGTGGATGTTTAGTCAATGAGTATTGTCAAGACCAATCAATAGATCTGTCGCCAGTTAGAGAATTAAGGGTGATGAGGATTGGTAATGTGATCGATGGGCTGAATGGCCTATACCTGCTTCTTTTTCTTGTGCTCCTAAAATTATCATAGACCATGCACACCTGCTAACAGCCTGCAGGAATATCACAGGATTGCTACAGTGCATATGGAGACTATTTGGCCCACCGCACCTACACTGGTTCTATCACATCCTGCCAATCTCTGGCCTTTTTCCCCACACCCCAATAGCCAAGCTACAGTTCCTGACCTTTACTCTTTATCCTCTGCCATCTTTAGGCAGAGTTGCAGCCTCTGCAAAGCAACTTGAGAGACTGAAATCAGAACGTCAGCAGGTTAGATTCAAACTAGCACATTTCCCCATTCCCCTCATCTGTGCCAATGTACTCTACACTGAAGGCTGGGGGTGGAGAATATCAATTTGCAAGTGATTCAGAGTAACCTTGTTTGGTCTACACTGAAATTTCATATCTTTACAGCTGAGACCAATATATCACCAATATATCAGGTTGTCATATGTGCCTGACTGGGAGCATGTAGTAGAACCTGGTACTATATTTTCAGCTATATTTCCAACTGCATTTGATGGTTAGGAATAGCAGACGCCTCTTCCAATGAGTTCAGGAAATAAATACATGTCAAGACTCACATCCACGTTACACTTTGCATTCTCACAGCCTTCAGGACATTTTATAGCTCCAGCTCCTGTGGGATGAATGATAAGCGACAAACCTCAAGGGAGACTTAGCCATAGCAAATCACTTGCTCTAATTGAGTGCAATTTAACCTTTCTTTCATAGAAGTCACAAGCACATTTCTCCGGTCAATAATGGTGCAATGAGCAGGGGCCTGATAGGGAATGTGTTAACGTCATCATGGGAAGTTCACCATCATAACAGTGACAATAGCTGCAGCACAAAGATTGTCCCTATTGAAGAGACGATATACTTACCATTGAGGAAAGTCACTAGGGATGGCAGTTCTGTCCTATGAAGAGGGATCTTTTTAACTGGATTCATTGGAATTTTGGATGAGTGAATTTCTTTGAAATATATACACGAGCTGGACAGACTAGATGCAGGGAGGATGTTTCTCATGATTTGGGAGAGTAGAATCAGGGTTTCAAGAGTCTGAGGGTATAGAGGGGGCCATTTCAGACTGAGATGAGGAAGTATTTCTTCACAGTAGGTGGTCAATCTTGGAAGCTACTGAATACTTTCAAAAAAAAGAGACACTGATAAAACTTTTACAAAGAGTCTTCGAGCGATATGGGGAGAAAGGTAAAATTTGGCGTTTAGATACAGCCTTAGCCGTGATAAACAAGGATCAGGCTTGAAGGGCTGATTGACCTATTCCTGCTCCTCATTTCCATGTGAACAGAGGTAGTAACCAGATCATCACTCAAACCTCAGTTTATGCCAAATGAGCTGATTTGAGCTAACATATAGATGTTAGTGATAACAGTGTGGAGCTGGAGGAGCATAGCAGGTCAGGCAGCATCAGAGGAGCAGGAAAGTTGATGTTTCGGGTCAGGACACTTCTTCAGAAATGGGGAGGGGGAAGGGAACTCAGAAATAAATAGAGAGAGGAGGGGTGGGGCTGGGGAAGGTAGGTGGGATGGTGAAAGGTCAGTGGAGGTAGAGAATGGTGGAAATTGTTTAGTGAGGTGGGAGGGGTGGATAGGTGGGAGAGAAGATGGACAGGTCAAGGAGGCAGGGATGAGAGAGAGGGTTGGTCACGGGATGAAGCCGGGGCGGGTGGGGAGATTTTGACACCGGTAAAATCCACGTTTAGGCCATTGGGCTGTAGGCTCCCGAGGAGGAATATGATGTGCTGCTCCTCCAGTTTGCGGGTGGCGTCATTGTAACACTGGAGGAGGCCCAGGATGGACATGTCGCCCAGGGACTGGGAGGGGAAGTTAAAATGGTTCGTGACCGGAAGGTGCTGTTTGTCGCGTACAGAGGCAGATGCTCTACAAAGTGGTTTCTGAGCTTCCACTTGGTCTCACCGATGTAGAGGAGGCCACATCGGGAGCAGTGGATACAGTAGACCACATTGGCGGATGTGCAGGTGAACCCCTGTCTGATGTGAAAGGTTTGTTTGGTGCTTTGGATAGAGGTGAGGGGGGAGGTGTAGGGGCAGGTGTAGCACTTCCTGCGGTTGCAGGGAAAGGTGCCGGGGGTGGTGGGTTAGTGGGGAGTGTGGAGCAGACAAGGGAGTCATGGAGAGAGGGGTCCCTAAGAAAGGCAGATAGGGGTGTGGAGGGAATATGGGGTTGGATTGTAGGTGGCATTGTAGAGCATCTGCGCTCTGTTCGCGACGAACGACACTATCTGCCCATCTTCTCTCCCACCTCTCCGCTCCTCCCACCTCACTAACCAACCCCCACCACTCCCTACCTGCACTGACCTATCACCAAACAATCTACCTTCCCCAGCCTCACCCCTCCTCTCTCTATTTATTTCTGAGCTCCCTTCCCCCTCCCCCATTTCTGAAGAAGGGTCCTGACCTGAAACATCAACTTTCCTGCTCTTCTGATGCTGCCTGGCCTGCTGTGTTCATCCAGCTCCACACTGTATTATCTCTGACTCCAGCATCTGCAGCTCTTGCTATCTCTGAGTGTGTCACCATGTAGATTTTAGTGTTTATCTTTCACGTGAGCAGCGTTCCTAATCCTAGGGGCTCACACTATCCCTTTTGCCACCAGCTGCCTGTCTAACCCACTCTTAAATGTTGCTGCTTCAACCATTAAGTTCATTTCACAGCCTCACAGCCCTTGAGTAAGGCAGTTTCTCATATATCGTGAGATAGTAGGAACTGCTGATGCTGGAGTCTGAGGTAACAAGGTATAGAGCTGGGTGAACACAGCAAGCCAGGCAGCCTGGCCTTCTCCTATATTGTGATTCTTTTATATAATCTTACATAGATCTACCCTTCAACCACTGAAACCAGCCTATTTCTATCTTGCCCTATGACAAGTTTAAACAATTCTGACAAGCTAGGCCCAATTTGTTGTTTTCATTTGTGGAGTGAATCAATGCTGTGTCGTCTCCTTTGTCTCAGTTTGCCATGTACAGTTATAGAGCGACAGCTGTTGATTTATCTTTCAGTGCAATAGGTTTATGACAATATAAAGATAAAACTAAAGAACTGCAGATGCTGGGGATTTGAAACAAAAAAACCAGAGACTGCTGAAGGTCTGGGAAGAAAGCAGAGTTAACGTTTCCGGTCCAGCCACACTTCCTCAGGACGGGCAATAGCTGGGATAAAGGGGGATTGCGTTTTATGACAATGTTTTGAGATGAAATGCTTTTCCTCCCATTGAAGAAACTCACTGAAGACCTTGCAGCCTCATCCTTGATCCCTGGAGACCCCAAGAGCAATCGCAAGAGGTTGGCAAGCCGCTCTCGTTGATCTGATTTCTAATAGTGTGGGATATCAGTGGTACTGAATGGCTGCTGTGTTTGCCCACTGCACCGCAGTTATAATTCACTGTGTGAAGCACTTTGCAACTTTTTAAGACACAATAAAGTTGCTCTGTGACTGCAAGAAAGTGTTTCTTGACACAGTCATTTCCTGCAGGGATGGAGGTGTTAAATTGGTTGCTGAGAAGGGCTTGGGCAGTGAAACAATCATCTCCACCACAGGAACTGTCCTTCAGCAACACTGAGTGGACTGGCATCTGAACCAAATGTACATCTGCCATACAGGTTCGCTAACTGTGACCTGACTGAAGCATTCAGGATCCTGAGAGGGTCTTGACAGGGTGAATGTTCAGGAGATGTATCCTTCTTTAGCAGATTCACAAACTAGGGCCCACTGTTTCAAAGTAACATTCAAGATGGAGATGAGGAGAATAATTTTCGTGCAGAAGGTGCTAATTGGTGGTAACGCAGTGTGGAGCCGGAGGAACATAGCAGGCCAGGCAGCATCAGAGGAGCAGGAAAGTTGGCATTTCGAATCGGGACCCTTCTTCAGAAATGGGGAAAGGGAGCTCCGAAATAAATAGAGAGGAGGGGTGAGGTTGGGGAAGGTAGGTGGGATGGTGATAGGTGAATGCAGGTAGGGAGTGGTGAGGATTGGTCAGTGAGGTGGGACGAGCGGATAGGTGGGAGAGAAGATGGACAGGTTGTGTCAGGTCAAGGGGGCGGAGATGAGAGGGAGGATTGGTTATGGGCTGAGGCCTGGGAGTGGAGGTGATGGCCAACTAGTAATATCACTGAACTCTTAACCTACACAACCAGGTAATTTACTGGAGACATGGGTTCAAATCCTGCAATGGAATTTGAACTGTTAGGTGTTTGACAAACTCAACCTTGTCACTATGCACTGTCAGAATTCCAAACAGCAGACACTAACTTAGGGAGGCACCACCACGTTTGCAAGAAGTGTCAGAAACAATTTGAGCTCAAGAGATCTCAGCTAGGGTGGAGTTAGCAGACAAACTGGTTCATTGGGGAAGGGCAAATACAATAAAAATGTGCTTTTTCTAGAACCTAAGGCCACCCCCAAAATGCTTACCAGGTCATGAAGTAATTTTAAATTGTGGTTGCTGTTGCAGAGTGAGAAACACTGCGGCCAAATTGTGTGCAGCCAGATAATATGTCTTAGGTGTTACTTGAGCGAATAAATATTGGGGAGAACTGTCCTGACCTTCTTTGACCATCAGTACTGAATCGTACATACCCAGCTGAGAGATTGGACATCTCACTTCTACAACAGCATTTGTGACAAATACAGCACTCCCCCGAAGGGTGACCGAAAAAACTGAGATAACTTTCCCAAAGTGGGACCTGAACCCACAACCTTTGTGCCTTTGAAACAGGACCCTTAAACAGTGAGCCACAACTCCAGCTAATGGAAAACAGGGATTAGTCAGACTTCTCACTTTGAAATGTTTTGCCAGGACTCCCATTGGTAAAATGCAAATAGGCATTGGTTCGGCTTTGATGATCTCTATAACAACAACTAAAACACTGTATTTCTATAGCACCTTTGGCAGAATAAAACATCCCAAGGGGCTACCAATGGCGATAGAAGAAGTTAGAGGGCTACGGAGATAAGGGGTGGAGCGTGGGACTAGCTGAGTGGCTCTTTCAAGAGCTGATAGAGACACAATGGCCTCCTTCGGTACTTTCAAATTCTATGATTCTAAGAACAGCTGACCAAAACGATAGGTTATAAGGAGTACTTGAAATGCTGTGCTACAGAAACCAGTTGAATGTTTTCAAGGAGTTGGATATGGTTCATAGGGCTAAAAGTTCAAAGGGTATGGGGGAGAAAGCAGGAACAGGAACTGAATTGGATGATCAGCCATGATGATATCAAATGGCACAGCAGGCTCGAAGGGCCGAATGGTCGATTGCTGCTCCTACTGTTAATGTTTCTATGGTAAAGGAGAAGAGAGAGATGTAGAGACGTTTGGGAAGGAATTCCTGAAATTAGGCCTTAGGCAGCTGAAGGTGCAGCTGCCAGTGAAACAAAACTCGGAGCTTTGCGCGAGGCTGGAACCTCACTGTCATAGTGTAACCTCATGGAAAGTTCGAGAACTGCCATAAGCTGAATCCAAGCAGCCATCGACAGCAGGATCAGAAAACAGAAATAAAGAACTGTTCCCCTCACAAAGATCATGTTTTTGGCACAGAATGTGGTGTGTGTGACAAGATAAAGTTTCCTTCTTCCTTCCTATCTCTGATTAAATCTTTCTAGTTCTTAGCTCGTATTTCTTCACAAAGTTTAAATGCTGGCAGGTTTCATGCTGCTTGTTTAGTGCTGGAGGATTCCTCTATAGGACCATCTAGCGAGGGCCCTTTCACCTCAATGACTAGAGCTCAGTGGGTTAACACTCTCAAGTCAGAGGTGGTGTGTTCAATCTCAGTCGAGAAACATAAGTATGTTGGCAAGATGGTGATGAGCTGGCTCAGGACTGATGGACTCTCTTCAAGCTATACCTGTCTTTTTTTTCCGTAAATTATTCAAAATTGCACTGCATCATGACAAATGAAAGCTTTTCACTGTATTTTATTGTATTCTTACTGTAAAATACATGTGACAATAAAATCTAAATCATACTGTCAAGACTGCCTTTTGAATGAAGTATGAATCTACAAGATCCCATGGCACTATTGGTGGGAGACCTTGTTGCTATTTACCCCTCAGCAGAAAATCTTTCAGAAATTCAGTAAAAGATGCTGTAAAAAGAGACAGATAATATTTTTCTCTTTCAGCTGCTATTCCTTCGTGAAATTCATCTTTTGTTCTTTGGTGATGTTGGTGTCGACGGGCAGTGGGATGGAGGAAGGGCAGTGGTTGCAGAGGGAAGGGGACAGAAAAGAGGGGTAGAAGGTGTAGGGGACAGGGTATTGTGGGTGGAGCTGGGGGTGCAGGGGAGGACAGAGGTACGGGAGGGGAGAGCTGGCTTAGGAAGGTGGTGGGCAGGGGTTGAAACTGGGGCAGGAAGAGAAAGGGAGTGAGAGGGTCAGGGATTGTGGGCACAGGCTGGAGGGTTAAGGTAGATGCCATGCGGGCCAGAGGAAATGGAAGTAGGGAGAGAGACACGAAATTGAGTGTGTGGGCTGAGGAGGAAGGGGGTATCTCTGTATCCGAGGAGCTATAGATCTCAAAACACAGGAAGTGAATCATCATTGATGTGCATAAAGAGGAAGGATAAACACGGAACTCTGAACTGACTGAGGAGATGTCCTACAAGGAGAAAATGGCAGGGTTGATTGAGAATGGGTAAACAAACCAAAAGGGACCAAAGTGAGGGTGTCTCTCCATCTACTGAAAAATACTCTCCTAATGCCTACCTTTTCTGATTGGAGCTCATGCTTAAATCTCCTGATTTAAACTGAAATATACTTCTCCTCAAAACAATAGGGATGGACCAGAAAGATTGCACAGCAAAACAAAAAGCTACATCTGCCTATTAGTGAGTGTGTGTAAAGGTTGGAGGCCTGTAGGTGATACAGACAATATCCGGATGCATTCCCAGACTGAGGCCAGCTCTCGTTTGCAGGGAGCACAGTAGTATTGAGTGACATTTGTCTATACCTCATCAGATGCAAGCTATATACACTGAAAGCACCAAGACATCTTTACAGCACGGAATCTGAATAACTGCCATAAATGAGAACCTTGTCAAACCACCCATTTTAAGGCTGTGTACTGAGAGGAGCTGAAAAGCTGTGCCTGATTAAAAGACTGGTGGAACAGACGCCTACAGAAAGAGCAAGGTTGAATGGCTGCTTACAGCTGGTGAAAGGTGACAGATCAATGTTGCTTTAAGATGACGGCCTGTATTCAACAGGCTGTCTGCCTTTTAATAACCCCACAGTTAAATGTTCCGGCAATTCTACTGAAGCCTCTATTTGCATTCAACCGCAAGAAAAGAAAATGAGATTAATATTTACCAAAGAAATCCTTTTAAATGGAAACACGTCTCCTGGTCTGGGTCAAACTGCACTTCAGATGGAACTGGCTGGCCTTGTACATCATCCAAGTCTATATATATCTCTCTCTCTCTCTCTCTCATTCCCTAGCTGCGGAGGAGGGGGCAGGGCACAGCAGGAGAGTCTGATTGCCAGGCAATTTCACCAGAGCTGAATTGAAGCATGACGCCCACAAGGCAGTGATGCTGGAGGACTGCAGAAAGCATTTCTCCTCCCTCGCACTGACACATGCCCCGCCTCCCTCTGCCACAATACCACTCCCTCACCAGCAATGCAATAAAACACAAAAGAGGAGAAAAGCTGAGCAACGCTTGCACTGTTCCTCTCCAGGCCACAGCAGTGGCTGCCTGACCATTTGTTGTGAGTTTGCGCCCCGGGTTGAGAGCTGCAGCTACAATCTACACCCGTGCTGGGCGAGCTCTGTGTTTTCAGGCAGGCTGGGTGGTGGAATGTTCTTGCTGATTGTATCTGCCAGGAATGATACTGTAAACACCCTACATGTGCTCACATTTTAACAAAAGTAAAACAAAATCACACTCAGTTCCAACGTTTCTTTAGAAGGATCAGGAACAATCTCATAGAAACCTATAAAATTCTAACAGGACCAGACCCAGAGTAAATGCAGGAAGGGTGTTCCCGATGACCAGGGAGCCCAGAACCAGGGGGTCACAATCTAAGGATACGGGGGTCGGCCACTTAGGGCTGAGATGAGGAGAAATTTCTTCATCCAGAGAGTGGTGAGCCTGTGGAATTCTCTGCCACAGAATGTGGTCAAGGCCAAAACATTGAATGTTTTCAAGATGGAGTTAGATATAAATATAAACATAATAAGAACTAGGAGCAGGAATAGGAGCAAATTACCACAGACACTGGAATCTGTACTGAAATCAACAAATGCGGGAGATCACAGCAGGTCAGGCAGCATCTATGGAGAGAGAGCCAGCTAATGATTCGAGTCTAGATGACTCCTCATCAGGGCTGACATGAAGTGGGCCATTCAGCCCTTCTAGTTTCCTCTGTCATGATCTTAATACGGTCATGGCTGATCACATCTCGGCCTCAACTCCACTTTCCTGCCCACTCTCCATAATCCTTCAA